CTTATGACCCCCTCCTACAAAACGGCATTAATTCATGCATGAGCTTCAAGACACTGCAACCTAATTCCTCCCACTAGGCTTCACATCTTAAAAGTTCTACCACCTGAACACTGTCATACCAGGGACCAAGTTTCTAGCCCATGAACTTTTGAGGGACAAACCATGTCCAAACATAGCAGTAGGTGTAGTGTACATTTATTCTTCTGTCAACCAAGAGCAGCACTTCCTGTTTCTGGGAAAGTCTCCTCCTCTGTGGCTGCAGTGGGTGCTGTCATGGCCCAGGGGTGGCACCTGAGACCAAGCTAAATCAACCATGGCATTTTCATGGAATTTTTCCTTGTAAATCAGAGACAGTAAGTCTGAGTATTTCCCTAGTGCAAGTGGGAGTCACTCTCCCTGACATTCGGAGATGATCTGAGAGAATGGTATTGCCTACTAGAAAGATGTAAGGAGAGGAAGAAAGGGAGGTGGAGAGCACGTTTACAGTCTAGGAACATAGGAAGCCCACTGCCCCCGACCTTTTTCACAGTTATAAGATCTCCTTCTATGATGCAGTTAATTTACACTGCTTCTCATCAGGGGAGCCAAAGGAAGCCACCTAACACAGCACAAGGCCTGCATCCTCTCTCCATGCCCTGAAGTTATTATTTGTTCACATAATTAAATTGTCACTCCCACCCCTACTTCCCAATTACACATTAGGATGCCTAAATAAAAGCTTACATTAAAAATTTACTAAAAATAGGGTAGTGGTTGTGGCTCAGTGGTAGAGTACTTGCCTAGCACATGTGAGGTACTGGGTTCGATCCTCAGCACCACATAAAATAAATAAAATAAAGGTCCATCGACAACTAAAAAAAAGTTTTAGAAAATTTTAATAAAAATAGTAAGCTTTTTGCCATCACTTAGAATCCTTATCCATTGAACTAAACTTGTTTTATGTTTTAGGCTATCATTGACATCATACTCTATGGCCCACAAAGAATTTTCACATAGCATAGCACTGTCCAGTGGAAATATAATGCAAGCTACAAATGTAAGCCATGAATGTCATTTTTAAATTTCTAGTGGCCACATTAAAAAAAATATAAATGAAACAAGTGAATAAATTTTTACAATACATTTATTTAACTGAATTAGTATAATGCACTGCTATTTCAGTGTATAATCAAGATTTTTTTCATATTATGTATTTTAAATTTGTTGTATGTTTTATGTTTACAGTACATCTCAATTCTTTTTTAACTTTTTTGTAGTAGTAGATGAACATGATGTCTTTATTTTATTTGTTTATTTTTATGTGGTGCTGAGGATCGAACCCAATGCCTCACGCATAGTTGGCAAGTGCTCTGCTGCTTCCCAAGGCCAGCCCAGTACATCTCAATTTTGACCAGCCACATTTCAAATGCTCAGTAACCACTTAAAGGTACTATATTACCCAGAACAGCTATCAAACATTTCAATCTTTACAACACCTCTAAGAAAACTAAAACTTTTGTAATTATATATGAGAAAACTGAAACTCAGAGAAATAAGTAATTTTTTCATACTCAACACCTAATTAGTACAAAGTCCAGGCTTAAATTTCAGCCTTTGACCTCCACATTTTATGTTCTTTAGCTCACTGTGCTGTCTGTACAACAGGAATGATATTTAACATGGTCCTGAAATACAACCAGATAAATCAAATAAATAATGACATGGCCTCACCCATAAAATAAGAAGGTTGGACAAGATAGGTGGTCTACAGGTCCAAGGATTTTACCTTATGATTGATCACTCGGGTCATAGAACCTGCTAATGAGACAGAGTTTAACATAAATAATATCTAAACTCACACCTCTCTAGGATTCATGAATGGCATTATGGCACCAGTAATAGATAGATGCATTCCCTCCACCACACATTCTTCTCTAACAAGTTATTGTTTTGTTCACAACGCACACACACACACACACACACACACACACACACACACACACACATGGTTCCTGGCTCTCTTGGCTCTTTTTATTTCATAAATGACTAGAAGAATAGGCATATCTTTTACCAAAGTACTTGGCCTTCTGTCCATGGTTTCTGAAGCAGCTTCAGACCATAAATGTGAAGGAGTAACTCTGTTATGATGATGGGACACTTTAGGCCTCAAAGCAAACTCACTCTCTTTGACCTCACGCCCTCCTTTCACTGGCTCCTTTTTCTTCCCAAAGCAAGCCATAAAAACCAGAATTCTCTTTCCGAAGGCAGGTCACAGAAAATTTAAAAAAAAAAAAAAATCTCTAATCTTCTCTCACTTTTTGTCTTGGAGCTCGCCATGAAGAAATTCTCTGACCTACCTTCATAGTAGGCTTGATAATTAGGTCATAAGATCCTCATTTCAGATAAGGGCCTGCTCCATAACCAGGAATGCTGCACACAGGCCAAGAAGAATCTGCACAGACAGACCTTGCTGGTTTCCCCACTCGGGCTATCAGTGGGTCTATCATATGTCTTATCCAATCACATTTCTACACATTGTTCATGTTTCAATTGTGCTTATACCATGGAGTCTCCATAAAAATCCAAATGTCCAGGGTTTGTAGAATTCTGGATAACTGAACACATGGAAGTTACAGGTAAATAAGAACACATCTATGTCCCAGGAAGCCAGCACACCCCAAATCCGTGGGAATGGAAGCCTGCACCTAAGACCCTCTCAGAAGACCCCCTGTGTATCTCTTCATCTGGCTTTTTATACATTTCCTTTAAAATATTCTTTATAATAAACCAGTAAGTGAATTTCCCTGAGTTCTGTGAGCTGCTCTAGCAAATTGACCAATCCTAAAGAGGCAGTTATGAGAACCCCAATTTATAGTTAGGTGGTCAGAAGTCCAGAGGCCTGGACTTATGACTGGTACCTGAAGTGGGAGACCATAACCTGATGCTACCTCCAAGTAAATAGTGTCAGAATTAAATTGCCAACTGCTCTCTGCTGCAAAATTAATTGCTTGCTTATTGGTGGGAGAATCCCACACACACACATTTTGGTATCATGGAGGTAATCTGTGCATAGAATAGAACAGGATATAATAGGGAAAACTTTTCCTCAGTATATTCAGACCTACCAAAATTCCTATTGGAAGACCTAGCCTCCAATGTGATGGTATATGGAGATGGGGCCTTTGAGAGGTAACAGGGTTTAAATGAGCTCATTACAGTAGGGCCCCCATGATAGAATCAGTGTTCTTAGAAGAAGTAGAGAACTGGGCATGGTGGCACATTCCTGTAATCTCAGCAGCTCAGGAGGCTGAGGCAGGAGGATCACAAGTTCAAAGCTAGTCTCAGCAACTTAGTGAGGCTCTAAATAACTTAGCGAGACACTGACTCATAATATAAGTACATGTATAAAAAATAAAATTAAATAAAAAGGGCTGGGGATGTACCTCAATGGTTAAGTGCCCCTAAATTTAATCCCCAGTACAGAGAGAGAGAGAGAGAGAGAGAGAGAGAAGAAAAAGGAGACTATCTGGGAATATTAGGAAAGAGAAGGCAAGGAGGGGATCTGAGATGTCAGACACTTAATCTGTTAGTATCTCGATCTTCCTATTCTCCAAAATAATGGGAAATCAATGTCCATTGTTTAAGCCCCCCAGTCCTTCATATTCTGTTACAGCAGTTTGAGCTGACTAAGACAGAGAAGAAGAGTTATTGTACCAGTTCCAAACCCAGGCCTAAGAGCCCTGGGGATATCTGTGGCTCTCTTGGCTCTTCTTCCTTCTCCAAAAGAATAAGGCCAAGCTGGCCTGTGCCATGAAAGACCACATGGAGGAGTTGCTCCTAACCTCTCAGCTGATGCCCAGACGTATGAGGGAGCCCACTGGCAACAGCTGAGGTTGGTCCAGGTCAGAACAGCCCAAAAGAGTTCACCTAAATTACTGCCAACAGAAATGTGAGCTAAGTAAATATATGTTGTCTCAAGCCACTAAGTTTTGGGGTGGCTTATTATACAGCAAAACCTAATCAGCAGATATGCATGTTTCAGAGTTTCTACCATGAAAATCAAGACGTTCACTTAAAAAACAAGCAAACTGTGATAGTCAAGCCAAAGTGACTCCATTTTGTAAAATAACCATGCCAAATAGAAAGCTCATGACTGGGGCAAGTTGTTCTTTTCCTTTTGCTATAGAAACCTTTAAGAACACGGAACTACCTAATAGGGCATTGTTTCTGTGACTAGGGTAACAGGGCTCTGTTTCTGTAACTGGGGTGACTGGGCTAACTGTAATTGGCTAAGCATCCCTCCGCCTGACTACACTCTCCTGCTTCTGTAACCTGGCTTGCTTGCATTGGCTAGACCCCCGAACATCCCTTTTGCGGTTTTCAGGCTTATAAGGAGTGCCCTTGCAATTGTTGGGGCTGATCAGGGGAACAGCTTTATGTTCTGGTCAGTCGCCACCAGTGCGCTTCAATAAAGGCTTGATTCGATTATACGTGAGTGGTCTGGAAGTCAGTTCATGAAACCTCGGGATGTTGCTTTAACTATAACAAAACAAAAAACAAGCTTTTTGAAAAGAAGGAAAGAAAAAAATGAAGAAGGGAGGGGACGGAGAGAAGGAGGGAAGAAAGGGGCAGCAGAGGGAGAAAGGAAGGAAATTAGAAAGAAAAGAAGAGAAAACAGAAATGTAGACTAGAATCAAATCCAGGCTCCACCACCCCGTAGCCGTGTTAGTCAAGTTATGCAAAACTTATCAGAGTTCTCTACCACCTACCTCACCAGCTGTTTTTTGAATTAAAGGTGATTATATCTACACCAACCGGTTAAGTATCTGACATCTCAGATCCCCTCCTCGCCTTTTCCTTCCTAATATTCCCAGCACCTCCTACATTTTTATGACTTAGCTTTATCCTCCTCAAGTATACAGTGCTATTGTATACTTCTTATTCTTAATTTACTCTCATTTCCTTTCCCAGGTAGAACAAGCCAAGTGACTCAAAATCCATTTATTTATGCTGTTAAGTACCTTGGGATGGCTGTAGCATGATTCAGTCCAAGTACTACAACTTCAGAACCAGGAAGCCAATGGTGTAACTCTCAGTGCAAGACTGAGTGCAGGCCTGAGAACCTGCAGTCGGGAGTGAGCTTCTGGAATGTCCTGGAGCCCAAAGGCTGCAGTGCTGACGTCCAAGGGCAGGGAAAAGAGGAGTGTGTCCCAGTTCCAAGAGAGAGAGAGACCTGAAATCCTCTATCAATTTTTTTTCCAAGTTGGGACTTCAGCCGATTGGATGGTGCCTGGCTACATTAAGGCAGGTCTTTCTTACTCAGTCCACTGACTGAAATGACAATCTCCTCTGGAAACACCCTCATAGACACCCAAAAATAATGCTTTACCAGTTCTCCAGGTATTCCTCAATCCAGTCAAGTTGACACCATCACAGAGATGAAAGATCTTTACACTGAAAAGAAATTGAAGAAGATACAAATAAATGGAAATATATCCTGTATTCACGGATTGGAAGAATTAAAATTGTTAAACTATCCACACTAGCCAATGTAATTTACAGACTCAATGCGATCCTATCAAAATACCAATGACATTCTTCATAGAAAAAAAAAATCATGAAATTTATATGAAACACAGAAGACACCAAATAACCAAAGCAATCTTGAACAAAAGGAACAAAGCTGGAGGCATCACTCTACTTGACTTCAAAATGTACTCAAGGCTACGGTAACTTAAACAACATGGCACTGGCATAAAAACAGACACAGAAACCAAAAGAACAGACTAGAGAGCCCAGGAATAAATACATTTGGAGCCAACTGATTTTCAACAAAAATGCCAAGAACACTCAATGGAGAAAGGTATCTTCCATATACAAAAGTCAACTTGAAGTGGATTAAAGAGTTAAATTTAAAACCCCAAACTATGAAACTACTAGAAGAAAATATGGGGGAAAGCTCCATGACATTGGTCTGGGCAATGATTTTTTTTTTAATTTAATGTCAAAATGACTGAAAACAAAAACAAAAATAGACAAATCAGACTTCAGCAAAGGAAACAATTAACAGGGTGAAGAGACAACCTACAGTATAATTAATAGAAAATATCTGTAAACTAACACATCTGACAAAGGGTTAATGTACAAAATATATAAGGAATGCAAACAACTCTACAGTAAAACAAGTAGCTCCGTTTAAAAATGGGCCAAAGACTAGGAGAGGTATTATGCAAAAGAATACATACAAATGACCAACAGGTAGATAAAAAGGAAATAATCATCAGGGAAATGTAAATTGAAATCACAATGAGATATCATCTCACCCCAGTTAGAATGGCTATTATCAAAAAGACAGGCTGTTTTTGTGGAGGGTGTAGAGGAAAGGGAACCCTTACATACTGTTGATGGGAGATGGTAAGTTAATATAACTACTATGGAAAGTTGTATGGAGGTTGCTCAAAAAATTTAAAATGTAGCTACCATATCATTCAGCAATCTCACTACCAAGCATATATCTGCACTCCCATGTTTTTTGAAGCATTATTCACAATAGTAATGATACAGAATCAACCTATGTGTCCATTACAAGATAAATGAATAAAGAGAATGTGATACATATACACCATGGAATAAGATTTAGCTATTGAAAAAAAAGACAGAAATCTTATCATTGAGGACAACATGGATGAAGCTGGAAGACTTTTGGTTAAGTGAAATGAGCTAGGCACAGAAAAACAAATACCACAGTTGAGCCCATAGAAGTAGAGACTAGCATGGTAGTTAGCAAGGCTGGGATGGGGCCATTAGGAAACACTAGTCATAGAATACATAATCACAGATAGGAAGAATAAGTTCCATTGGACAGCGTGGCAACTATAGTTCATGAGGATATATTGTATTCTTGAAAAACTGCAGAGAGTGGATGTCAAGTGTTCTCACCACAAAACAGTAATTATGTGGTAATAATTACACACTTGTTAATTAGCTAGATTTAACTATTCCACAATATCTATGTACTTCACAATGTCACATTAAACACAATAAATGCGTACAATTTTGTCTGTCAGTTTTTCAAAACAATCTAAAGAGACTGGGCATGTAATTCAGTGGCAGACCACTTGCTTAGCATGCACAAGGCCCAGGCTCCTCCCCAACCACCCGAAAAAAAAACATTTAAATGCATTTGTGGCAAAGTCATTATTTAACTTTATTTAAATGTTTAACTATGTTTAATCGATCAGGCTGAAAAGTGAACAAACACATTTAAAATTTTTGAATCAATACTCTGAAACAATATAGCTTTTAGAAGTATAAAATAATATCTTCATGACATTGAGGCAAATAGAAATTTGTTAAACTGAACCTAAAAAGCAATTATCAAGATGCAAAAATTAATAAGATATACTATATTGTAAAATTTTGTGGGCTAGGGGTGTAGCTCAGTGGTAAAGCACATGTTTAGCATGCACAAAGCCCTGGATTCAATTCTCATTTTCCCAGCCCCCAATTGTTTTTTTCAACAAAAGATATACATAAGAAAATAAAAATACAAGGCACCCTGTGAAGAGATTTTTTTCAATACATATATTCAAAGGATTCATATCCAAAAAATATAAATCACTTTTAAAAACCTACAAATAAGTAAGAAAATGTAAACAATTTAATAGAAAAATTGGCAAAAATCATAATCAGGTCTTTCACAAAAGACTATACACAAATGGCAAATAAGCTTATATTATGACAAAGAGCTTAACTTCTTCATCATCATGGAAATTCACATTAAAACCACAGTGATATACTGCTCCATAACAACAAAAATGCCTATAATTTAAAAGATTAACAGCATCAAGTGTTGATTAAAATATGAGACAACTAGACATCTCATATATTGCTGACAGGAATAAAACTTGGTACAACCACTTTGTAAAACTGTTTGTTAGTATCCACTAAAGCTTAATACGCATAAACCCTGTGACCTAATAATTTCACCCTTTGGTATATAACCAGCAGAAATACATGTGTGCACCAAAAGACATATATGAGAATGTTCATAGCAGTTCTCTTCATAACAGACTAAAACTGGAAACTATCCATATGTCTGTCAAAATGAAAAAAAATACATATTCACTCAATGGAATACTCTGGAGGAATGAGAATAATGGACTACAACTACTACACATCATTGTGGAAGCTCACAAAAAAGTTGAGCAAAAGAAACTAGAGCAAAAGATCAGATGCTGAAGGATTTCATTCACATAAAATTAAAAACAGAAGCTGGGGTTGTGGTTCAGTGGTAGAACACATACACACACACACACACACACACACAATTTAAAAACAGCAAAACTAGTCTTCAGTGTAAGACCTCAGATTAGTAGTTAGTACAGGTGAGAGGGGGAGGGGCAGCAAAAATAGCTTCTGGGTTGCTTCATGTCCTGACACTTGATCTGAATGTCAAGTACACAAGTGGATTCACTTTATAAAAATTCATCAACTGTATACTTAGAAGGTGTGTGTACTTTTCTATATATTTAATTTTAAAGTTTGCTAAAAAATTCAGTATTCTTTAGGCCTAAACATATCACAAATCATTATGAAAAATTCTGAAGCCAAAGCAGTTCATCTTCCAAGAAGATATTCTAAATGTGCTCGTTTCTTTTATATGCTATCAATTTTGCTTTTTCCTAATGTTGCCATTAGTTAGAGATTTCTCACATCAGAATTAAGTTTCTTGATTTTGCTTTTCCTTCAAACTTTTTAACCCTTTCTTATGAGTTCAGAGTAAGCCAACAACAAATTTTGGAAGATAGTAACAGAGTTGAGGCCCTAACCTGGAAGCTGAGCTAAGGTACAGAATCCCCTAAGGATCCCATAAGGGGTGTTGATTTGACGTCACACCTACTTCTGAGCAATGTAGTGAGTGATGGAAGCAAGACAAGAGTAAGTAGGATCAGCTGAAAGTGTGTTTAAGAAATATTAGATCCCAATCCCCTCCCTCAGCCCCCTCAGCTGGGCAGCTGCCCCAACCTACTCCAGGAGAAAGCTACAGGTTTATTCTCAGAAGAGAGCCTCAAGAAGATCACTGGACAGAGAGAACCAGGCAGCGTTTAAGGCAGAAGTATTGCACTGACAACAGAAAGTTAAAATCAACGTTGACATCCTGAATGCTGAGATCCCCAGTGTTCTTCCCAGCACTTCATGGAATGCACTGGCATCCTCTTAAAAGAAATTAAATGGAAAAGCAAATGGAGGCAGGCACATAGGGGTATGATGATTCTTCAATCACTCTCTTGGAGCTTAATAAAATGGGCCTATTCCCCAAAGACTAAAAGAAATAAAGGAAACACATTGTAATTGGGCATAAATAACCATATTGAAGAGCCAACAAGGAAGGACTTTTAAAGGAAGTTGGACCAAAATAAGCCACCACAGCATTTCACCACCCCCACTAATTCATGGTCATATAAGTATCAACTTGTAGGTATCGTGTCCATGAGCCCCTCTGTGTTTTTACATCTCACTACCTCATTTGCTGGCATCTTTTTGAGTGGGATTTTAATTTCTTTTAAGATGAATTTCCAATAAGTCTGCCAACAGAATCATCTGATTTTAAGTGTATTAGTGTATCTGGCAGACTAATACATCCGGTCCCTACAAGCCACTCCACTCACTCATTCACTCTTGCAATAGGCTACTCAAAAGGAGACATACAAGTAGCCAACAGGTATATGAAAAGGTGCTCAGTTTCACTAATCACTGGGAAAGTACAAATCAAAACAACAGTTAGATATCACCTCACTTCTGTTAGAATGGTTATTTTTATCATCAAAAAGACAAAATATGGGCTGGGGTTGTGGCTCAAGTGGTAGAGCGCTTGCCTAGCAAGTGTGAGGCACTGGGTTTGATCCTCAGCACCTCATAAAAATAAAATAAAGATATTGTATCCACCTAAAAAAAAAACTAAAAAATAAATATTTATTTAAAAAAGTCAAAATATGTCAAGCATGGTCGCACACACCTGTAATTCCAGCAGCTTGGGAGGCTAAGGAACTTGGGATTGCAAGTTCAAAGCCAGCCTCAGCAACTCAGTGAGACCTATGCAATTCAGCAAGACCCTATCTCTAAATAAAATACACACACACACACATACGACTGCGGATGTGGCTCAGCGGTAATGCCCCTGGGTTTAATCCCCAGTACCAAAAAAAGACATATGTTAGGGGGAGAATATACAGAAATGTAACGGATGTATGACCTGTTTCACTCTAATTCATTCAATCATTCACTCACTGATTTAGGCATTTTCACATAGGCTAGGATTAACTTAAAGATAACAACTTTCAAAATGTAATTGTCATGTGGGCATTAATCCTTACAATGTTACAGTTTTCCACTTTTATCTAAAGAGGCAAAGTAACATAAAGAACACAGGTTGTAGGATCAAAGAAATCTAT